CTCATTCAAGAGGCGTTTGGATGATTATCTTGCTGAGGTCATCTGACCCCAGCTGATTTCCAGCCCTTTGGGCAGGGGATTGGATCCAATGATCTCACAAGGTCCCTTCCAGCCCTAATATCTATGAAAACTATGATGTTTCTCCCAAATCATTACCCAGCAATGTGCCAAGCTGGCACAGGCTAATGGAGCAGAAAAATATATAACAAGAGACCAGACATAAATCTTTACGCTGAAAGGCTAGATTTTGTTTTATGCCTCTTTAGTGTAATCTTTCTTAAAAGAGACATGGTGCTACAGGGTTCCAGCTTAATGCACCATGATTGAAATATACTCACCGTTCAGATTCCTCTCCAAATTTGCCAACAAAAGCACCCTGAGAAGTACAGCACAAAGTCACTTTGCTAAGGAGCCATCTGGGACAGTCAAGTCAAGCAATGGGGTCTTAAAACAACAGTGATAATCCAAGTTTCAAAGAAGGATGTCTTTGCTATTTCCCTCCCGTCTCCAACTCGCTAATGCTGAGACAAGCAGTGGAGACTAAATGTCAGGTCACCTTGTTAGACAAAATATGTCTGGGCAACAGGCAGTGGAAACAATCTAAAAAGAGGCTTAATGTTTAACTCATGATTTTACAGTAATAGTCATCATATCTTTTAAACTTTCTTTTAATAGTTATTCCTTCATGGTTTTTAAGCAAGTCAAACCCACTGAATTTAAGGAAAGGGGGAAAAGGTAGGAATGAAACCTTTGTAAACAAGGTGCTAGAAAAATACAGATTTTGCTATACTGCATTATCTTTAACTCCAGCTTTTTAAAATCAATACTGTTAAAAAAGAGATTATTTTTCTTGGTTCCAAGTCTTGGAGCTATAAAATTGTGCTAAGGAATAGCTTAGAAATAGCAACTGTGCCAAGTTTAGTTATTCACCTGAATCGGGGTTAAAACAGAAACTAATGAGAGTGAAGCTTCTGCAGAAATCAACCTTGAGTAATTATCTATGTACTTTCAGTGTCACACCTTGGTAAAAAAAGAAGACTTGAGGCTGCCTATCTGCGTGCTCAGTCTAGGGGCATACAGTACATGATAACACTCAATTACAAGCAGTGAATCAAATACCTAGAAAACAAAGCCAAATTAAATGAATTATTTTGTGCTTTTTTACATCCCACGTATTTCTATAAGCAAGAGTGCAAGGATGTAGGGAATGGAATGATAACATTTTCCATACACACAGTTTACTTCAACTCTACTGATAGTCACTGAAGACCAAAGCGTTCCAAGTGGCCTTGGTGTTCACTGTGTTGCTTTGTACTGAGCATTGGTTCATTTGGCATAGAGTGTGAAAGGTCCTGAATATTAAAACAACACAAAACTGTTGTAGCTGAGCTGCAAAATACTGTCACCATACTGCTTCAAAACCTATCCGTTGCACTGAAAAGGAACATCTGAACTGAAATGGCTCCTCACTCAAAATTAAATAGTTGAATCTCATAGTCCTCAGTATTTTTCACAGATAATGGCGTTTCTATTTATTATCTGGCACATACTTCTCAATATTAAAATGAGGACTTAGTGAAATCAATGGCAAAAATCTGTATTAGAACTGGGTTGATTTTTTGTCAGATGAACATCAAATTTCCCAAAAAGGCAACTTCAGACCACAAAATGAGGGAGAATAAAATAAAAAAAACCCCAAACATTCTGACTCTTTCATTTCAAAGCAATCTTTTGAGACCAAAATCAGCAAAATATAATTTTTAAAAAGGTTCAATATGTATATACAAATGAAACTGCTTAATGTGATTTTAAATTTGGTTTAAAATTATTTGAATTTGGCTTTAATATGATTTTAAATTTGGTTTCAGTTTTTGGTGAAAAAGATATTTTTTCTTTCCTTTGAGGTTAACCTTATTTTCCCCCAGTGATCAATGATTTATGTAGGACTATTCAAGATTTTTTCCCAAAACTTTTCTGTAGCTTAAAAATGTTTGTTTGCCCATCTAAAGCTTGGTAAACTAGCCTGTAGCAAATGAACATTAAAGCTTAGCTTCCATGCTGCCATAATGTGACTACTCCTAAAACACATACATGGATGTGGCATAAACCACTGTGAAAACCTAAGGGCTCCTCTAGATGTGCAGGGAGCCTCCTTGATGTGATGGAAATCGAATAGTTGAGTCTGCTGGAGCGCAGAAATTACTACACTTCACCAGACTTTAGCATCACCTGTCTCAGCATCCCTACACTAAAAAATGGTGGCAGGGCACTTTGATCATGTGATCAGCTTTAGTTCAAAGTGCCCCACCACCATTTTTCAGCACAGAGACGCGGATGTACATGATGCTCGCGTGCTTTTAATTAGCATGGCTTGCTAATTAAAGCACCCCCCCACGCCTCTTGGAGCACGTGTAAGAATGCCCCCAGATTCCAAATCTGTTGGAGAAATGAGGTAGTTTACTCCACAAATTAAAAGTGGCTTTGTTGGAGGGCAAAACAATTGCTGATAACAATTTAAAAAGAGATATTATAGAATTTAAAAGTAAAAGACAAAACAAATTAAAATTATTTTAAAAAAATCATAAAAGTGAAACATGTACTTTAATTTGTATGTTGCCAAAGTAGCCCCAACTATAGAGAAAATGCATGAGAACAGGACAATACAAATGATGGAAAATAGACTAGTCTCACATCACTTTCCTATTTTAGTGAAATTCCAGAAATAAATGAAGACTCCAAGCAAAGAAAGAAATTTAAGGCCAAGGTTTCCTGGAGCCACTACTCATTTTAGGTCCCCACATGAGATAATTTCAGAGAACCTGATTTCAAAGGTTGGTTGCTCTGCAGTCTCTGAAAATCAGAGCCTTTTAAAGGTATCTCAGTCAAGCACCCAAAATCAGTAGTCATGTTTCAAAGCTTTGTCCAAGATTTTAAAAAATGTTTGAATAATGTAAGTTATTATTTGTGAAATGTGTATCCTTATACATGCATATTATTAATATAATGTATATATTAATGTGCATTATATATGTTATACAGTATAAAATACATATTTTACAAGTAATTTACATTATCCAAACTTTTTTTTACATCTTGGACAAAGATGTATATATAGTGTGTGTGTGTGTGTGTGTGTGTGTGTAGTATATACTTGTATAAAGATACACCTTTTTGTGTATAAAGATACATATATACACATATATACATATACATGCACACACATATGATTTTTAAGCTCATTACTACTTCATGATTTCAAAATATAACTACTGTCATATCCAGCTAGTTCATGCAACTCAAACCAAATCCAAACAAAGCAGTTTTTAAAAAAATAGGATTTTAAAAGAGAATTTTAAAAGCTATAATATGAGGGTTGTGGTTTCAGTTCTAAATGAGTAGATATAACTGTTGGAAAAGAGTATTTCTCCAGTTTCAGTTCCTTAAGTTGAATCTCAAGCTGGAGTTATTTAACCATTTGTCCTTTGTGTTCAGTTATTAACTTGGATCCTCAGCTATTGCTGCACTGAGAACAGCAGCATTTGGACTTCTCAAATCAGCATTATTCTAGTAATTATTCTATACAAAAAGATGAAAGATTCTAAATTCTGTGTGACCAAAAAGAGAAAGCAGGACTTGCAGAGCAAGTGAATGTGGAGGGGAGGGGTGGGGGGTGGAAAAAGAGTTAATTGATTTATTTAATGGTTTTACTTATTAAAAATGTGCATGAATATTGTATTGCGCCCTAAAAGAAAATACAGGAAAATTAATGAAGATAAAAATAGCAAAGTAGTATTTTTGAGGGAACTACAATTCTAATTTAATATCATTCAGCTGAAATGTAGCTTACTCCATCTTACTAGGCTGTTTTAGATTTGTATGTGGGCCTGTAGCAAGGGCAAATGCATGATGAATCACCTAGCACTGCACACACCAAACCTGCTGGATTCAGTAAGGATCCATTATTCTGCCTTGCTGTGGTACTGCTATGGTTAAAAAGATAACTGCAGCCTATTACTAGGTTTACAAAACAGTTTGCTCTGTACACAAAGGGGTCTATTTCTCAGTGGACAAGGGACTCAAGTCACACAAGTATTATATCTGTGTAATTTTCTTGTGCATTGATATTAGGACAGATTTAAATAGGTACAAAGTCCTTGGAAATAAAATTATCAAAGTAATACAAAAAGGTGGTTTTCTTTATTGTATGGAGCAAATGAAAAAGGAAGAAAAAAATTCTATTAAAATGTGTTGTTAGTGCATGGATTCATATCAAAGTTCAGCAGCAAAACTGCATCTCAATTGCATCATTATTGATGATTAACAAAGCAGCAAGATAAGCTTGAATGGGATTTCAACCCATTCAGAAAATGTTTCTGGTTCAAGCAAAGGAAAACACAGGGCTTGGGAAGAGAAGACTAGGAGGAAGGCGGGATCTAATAGCAGCCTTCCACTACCTGAAGGGTGGTTCTGAAGAGGATGGAGCTGGGTTTTCCGAAGAGGATGGAGCTGTGTTTTCAATTAGGGGTATGGCACTTCTGCCACTGCCATGCCACTGGCACACTCGCCAATCAGCTGTAGGGGTGGACCGCCCCACCCTCAGTTGCTGATCGGCCACTGGGAGGACCTCCCCCCACCACGCTCATCGACTGGCTGCTGAGGCTCCTCCCCACCCACTTGCCGATCGGCCACTGGGGAACCCCCCCACCCCACACACACACACACTCATTGACTGGCCACCAAGGAACTCCTTCCTTCTTGACCAGCTGCTGGGGGTACACTGACCCCAAAAGGTTGAAAAGTACTGTGCTAAACTGTTCTTAGGGGTGGCAGATGACAGAACAAGGAGCAATGGTCTCAAGTTGCAGCAAGGGAAGTTTAGGTTAGATATTTGGAAGACCTCTCTCATAGGAGGGTAGTAAAACACTGGAAGAGGATCATCAGAGAGGTGGTGGAATCTCCATCCTTGGAAGTCTTTAAGACCTGGCTAGACAAAGCCTTGGCTGGGATGATCTAATTGGGGATGGTCCACACACACAATGGACTAGATGACCTCCTGAGGTCCTTTCCAACCCTAATTTTCTATGATTCTATGATGTGCTTAATTAAGTCATAATTAAATTGCTTAATTAAATGCTTTCTTGAATCAGCCCTTACCTTACAACACCTGGGCACACATCAACAGTTCATGAGACATGGCAAACATTTGAGATTCTCTTCCCCTCTGCACAATGACGCCTGAAAATCCTGGCAAGATTGAACTATTAAGGGAACGATAAACAAAACAATGATGCTTCATTCTGCAAGCTGCTTAGGGATGTGTAATAATCTGTTTTCATGAGAGGCTCTTTGATCAAGTTGAACCCCAGCCAGCACTTTATACGACACATTCAACCACCTAGGGCACACGTCACCACCGGGCGCTGCGGGACTTTACGTCAGCACATTTGCTACCTAATTCCCAATAATGGCTGTACTGTGCAGGGTAGCACAGAGGCTTTTCTTTACTGTGATTGCTGTTGCTATCATGTACAGCTTAACTAAATGAAGCAGTAAACAGGGGAAAGAGGTATCATTAAAGATTCAGACTGCTTGAGATCGGGTGGCTTCCAGGCTGACTTCAAATACCACAATTTTAAATGTATATGAAATTGGTTTATACCATATCTTTCTCTCTTTTAGCCTGCTTATGACCTGCCCTTACACACATTCAAATAAGCATTAGGCATCAAGTGAATACCTGAACCTCTGCTTGCACCATTTTCTCCAGAGGTGGAGACTCTGCTAGGCCGTACTCCTATTAGCAAGAGAGAGAAGAGGTCCAGTTTGGGACTCTGTGGCCGTATCTACACAAGCAGCTGACTACGCAGTTGTTACTGTGCAGTCATTTAGTAGTTCCTTAACCAAGTATCAGAGCCATCCGTAGAGGTGTGTGGGGCCTAGGGCACATCAGCCTGTGTGCAGCCTGTGCAGGGGAAGGAAGTGGGGGGTAGTGAGTAGCCGGAGCATGAAGCTAGCAGCGTGCGGTGGCCACACAGAGTGGTGGCACCCTGAGTGGGGCCCGTACGACACTGTCTGCAGGGCCCCACAAAGCACAGGGCCTCACCCTCCCACCCCCACAAGGGACAGCTCAACCAAGTACTAAATGATCGTGCAGTAACCAGCATTACTACGCAGTCCCATCGCCGCATGGTTATTTTTAGCTGCTACTGCGCAGTAGTGTTGGCATCACGGTTCATGCCCAGCAAAGCTACATCGCCATAGCAACAAGCTATGGTGCAGAAGCTCATTGCTATGGTGATATAGTGTCTCGTAGAGAGGCACCCTGTATGGAGACAAGATCCTCACTGACTTCAGACGGAATTTTCAGTATGGAAAAGGTATGAGGTGAAGAAGATAGATACATGAAAGTGCAGACTGCATTATAATACAACTCTGAAAATCCAAGGTAAAAAATGTCTTTCTTCCTCGCTTTCAGTTGTGCAAAGTTACAATAGATAAATCCACTAAATTCAGGCATACTTTTGGTAGCCAGTGGTCATTAAGAGTCATGTCATCAAAGCAGCAGAACCCTGTCCTCGCTGCAGGCTGTTTCCTTTCAGAGCCTGCGTTTTCCCATGCTGGATCTCAGCATTAACATGCCTTCTACAGAAGTTCCAGGATTGTCAATCATCTTTAGCCAGAGGTGCTGCTCTTCCCCTTGAGAATCCATCCAGTCAACTTCCTTGCCATTACTTAAGCCTGATAATTGGAAAAAAATGGAGGATTTGGCACGTTAGCAAAGAGTGACAATACTGCTGCTTATCAGTTCCAAAAACTAGGAGAGAACAACAATGGCTACTTCAAACTAACGTTCTGTCCAGGGAGTTATGCTATGAACAGTCCTGTCCTTTAACCCCCATGCCCCCCCCCCACACACACACACACATATTTCCTGTAGTTTTTCTCTCTTATTCCCCACCAAATTCTGTTACTGCCAGCTCCCCTCTAAAGAAGAAGGAAGGGATAACAGTCTTTGCAAAACCACCCCTTCATCAACCACAAAGGTTGCTGCTGAGTGGTATGAATCTCTCATTTCTGGCTCAGATGGTGGGAAATGTTTTTATAGTATTCCCTATGTCAACTGCTTTAAACAGCTGAGTTCTAACTGAACTTCAAATTCATGTCTCTCACTTAATGGCATAAAGAACTCAACTGCCACTAGACAACACACCTTTTCTTCCATTTCTTATCATTTTCTTGTGCTACCTGCTCAATAACATAAAACTGGCAGGGCCCCCCCTAGATGATCAAACCAGTCTACTGCATCCTCAAGCAACCATTTACCAAAAGATTCCCCTCTTCAAATCTTCACACACAACTACCAAATACAAAGCAGAAGCACAAAGAACATCAGGACACAACAGGTTAAAGCAGGGAAGATGAGGGCACTGTCAATACACAGTGGCTGCTCATTCAGGGAAGTAATATAATATACCTATCCTTTACACATGATATGAAATACTTGCTGGAGAGGGTGGAGCTCCCCAGACATCCGGGGCCCTTACCGAGTCCAGTACTCAAGCGGACACCTCCCAGGAAGATGTTACTTGACAACGACTCTTTGTCCCAAACGGTCAGTTCCAGGCAGACGTTGTGAATGTCCCTGGGGTTCAGGCCACTGAAAGTGAAGGTGTGATTCCAGTGGGGGTTCACACTCTTTTTTATTATTGGAGTTTTATGTTTTGTTGCTTTACTGTTATCTGGGAGCAGATATCTGAGAGATACAGAAAGAAAGAAACAGAAACATGAACAGAAAGATGCAACTCCAGATCATACCACTAATAACTATGCACTGCACTATCACCTTTTCCCAGTCAAGCCTGGGACCTCAAAGAACACTGGACACACATGCACATGTAACAGTCTCTGCCTTGATGGCCTGAGGCTCTAGATAAGCATGGCAAAGGATGAAGAAAAAAGAGGTATTATATGTACGTCCCACTTTACAAGTGGGAAAGCAAAGCACAGATAGATTAAGACACTACTGAGCAAGAAGCAAGCCTGGGAACAAAAATTCCTAACTGTGCTAAACATGACACTAAAGATTTAATGAAGACAAAGGTTTACAGCTCATTAGAATTTACCAGCTCCTGGCAATCGTCCTGCAGTAATGGCCCTCTTTTTAAAAATGATCTTATTCTTGTACGTAACTAGGTAATAATAACTGTTCTTACCTGATCCATAAGTGCTCCTGATAACATTTCTTTGCTCTACACATTTATTGGCCACTTCCCTTTTCAGATAATCTATTTCACTACTATAATGCAGTTGCTTTAACTGGTATTTCCTTTAAGCTCTTTCTGCTTCTTAGACCCGAGTAAGAGCATTCTGAGCCTATAAGCTTGTCTAACATCTCTCTCAATTATAAAGCTGCTCCAATAACCCTGCCTCAAAACCCTTGATTTCAAATGTATGAAATAAAATTCTCCTCAGTCTGAGTAAGCAACAACAGATACAAGTAATAAACTAGCTAGAGACCATTCGGTCAGTTATTGGCAACATGTCATTTCTAATACATACTAATATAAAATCAGGGAGCTCCACAGCTCTGTTGTCTCTTGTGGACTTTAGGTGCATACAAGCTGCAAAAGGACCAGATAATACTTTTTTTTGGCTTACCACTTAAACAAAAGCTCTTTTCTTTAACACTGCCCCACTAGGCTAATAAGTGCTTAGTAAGACCACTTTATAGGCTTTATGCCTGAAAAATGGTTCATAGTATCAACATACCTGGTATGTATCTTTATGAGCTCCAAAATGATTGTCATCTCTAGGCAGGAATGGTTAGAGTTACAGAAAGGAAATGAACCCCATTCAAAGGCTTCAATTTCATGGTGGGATTTTACAGAAGGACTTACCATCAATAAAAATGTGCAAAATCTTAATCCATATGTACTAGCAGGCAACAAATGAAAACTTTTATTGACAGGAAAAATAGCAAAGAACACCTGTGTAGCAGCTATCCATATTTCACTCATTTATCTTAAGTGTCACACTTACATTTCTGATTAATATAATTAGTCATGCAGAATTACATTCATTTATGCAATCATAAGTGTTCCTATATCTAATATTGTCTACATAATCTGGATTTTAAATCTCTGGAAGATAATTGAGGCATACAAGCAAAACCCAGGCACACGATGCACACACACACACACACACACACACACACACACACACACACACGGTGCTACATATTTAAAAATTTGTGTGTATACTAATATACACTCAACTTTTTAAATTTGAGCATAACGCTTATCAAAACTCAAAACCACATTTAAGAGTCTAAACTGTAAAGTTATGTCTTCTTTCAAAAAGGAAAAAAAAAACCCCACCTGAACCCATATAGGTATTTAAACTGCTTTCAAGTTAATCTTTGCAGAGTAAAGTTTAATGCATTTCTATCAGAAATACGATCTCATAAAATTTGAGTAAATACAAATACTCGTTTTACCCTTGAGGATGGGCAAATAAAAATTACCCTTTCACAAATGTGTCAGATGAGCCTCCTGACTTCACAGCTGTTAAATTCTTGGCTTCCTTAACCAGGACCTCCAATATACCCCCAGACGGCAAATGAGAGTCACCTTTCTTTCCTTTTTTTAAGCTCTTCTTTCCTGTAAATGAAACAAACCACCACATTAATCAAGAACTATAATGCTGCAACAATAGTTTGAAATGTAAACCCTTTGGGTTGAATCCTGCCATTTATGTATTTCAATGGGAGTATTTATGAATAAGGGTTGAACCCTGTATTTGTGAGTAAAATGTGGAGAAATGAGGAGGACAAGCCATCACATAAAAATACTTTAGGACTAATACACTGAATGGAAAGAGTCAAGTTCCTTTTAAGTCCATTCTTCTTTTCCCCTATTACAGATGCCTTTCTGGCTAATGGTGGTAGAGGAACAGGTGAAGTTAGCAGACAGTCTCATGCCACAGGCAGAGTGTAAAACTTCTCTATCAAAGCCTGAAATAAGAAGTATATGTACAAGTTCACTTCTGAAGACATACACTGCTGCATGACAGTGACAAAGAACCAACCCTTCACTGAGGCTAGTAACAGATGTCACCAGATGTGTCTCATTGGGTGAAATACATATTACCCATTGTCTTGTACATTGATCTTGTGGGACAATGAGTGATGTTGTTCTCTGCTTCCAGAGACATACCCCTGGCAATCTCTGGAGCATGCGTCTGGAAGCAGGGAAAGGCATTCCCCACTTCTAGAGATGAGCCCCGGACATTGCCAGGGGTGCATGTCTGTAAGCAGGGAACCCCAACTTT